AATAATGCCAGAGTCTACTTTGCCTGGAGTCTATTTTGCTAGGGAAACAAAAAGCAGCATTCCCGAGGAAAGACAAACAGCGGGGAGGGGTTGGAGAATCTGGTGTCCTTACCACTTCCTCCTTTCTACCCAGTCTGATGCCACCATTTCATGTGTGGGCTGGAAATAGGGAGGGATGGTGCACGGTCTTAATGCTGGCATTAGGGACAGGAGGTTTTGACCCCTCCCCAACCCACTGTGGTGCTAATGCCACTCCCGCACCAGTTATTTGCACTGGAGGAAAACATCCTAGTGGAGCCAATGAGATCATCTTTTCCCAAGGCAAGTGGCAGCTATAGTGACTTGATTAGGGCCAGAACTGCAGTGGAGGGCAAAGAGATAAAACCAATAAAATCCCTCCTCCAGTCTTCCCAGGGTTCAGAACCAGATTATGGGCCTTGCAGTTTAATTTGTTAAATCCATTGATAGAATTGCTATTTTGGGGAACAACAGTTTATATCCAGTTTTGTCCTGAAAGATTAATGATTTACTTTGAGGAGTCTCTCCCATCTGTGTATTTCCAGCAATGCTACATTGTTGCTTCAGATCCAATTGTTCCAGTTCTTTTACTTTTTCTTCCAACAGGGCTACCAATTTGCACTTATTCTCAGGAACAACAACAACAACAACAAACATTGCATACACTTTGCATATCATCAGTTCTTTCCATCTTCCCCTCCTATTTCCCTAAGACTCTCTCATCTCACTGAAAGAAGAGGAGACAACAATTTGTCAGATATCCTTTGATTTGGATTCTTGCATTGAGCTGAGGGTTGGACTCAGTGGCCTTATAGGTCCCTTCCAACTCCATTATAAAATGGTTCTATGACTCTCCAGTAGAGGAAATAACCTGCTGTAGCGGTCACCCTGTCACACATATTCAGCAGTTCATTTGCATGAACCAATAGGGAGCTGCTGGGAGGCAGAGCCAGCTATATAGAAGGGGGGCTATAGCAGAGTGTGGAGGAGATATAGAGGAAAGATGGAGATAGAGAGCAGATACAGAGAGAGATTTGAAGAGAAAAGTAGATAGTTTGGGTCTTGAGGCAGAGAGAAAGTTTAAAGAGTGAATAGTCAGAGTGTTATCTGTATCAGTTAAGACAGAAGACATTAAAGGAAAATACTGAACGCTTTGTGTAACTTTAAGAATGTGGTTCAGAACTATTCCTAAAACAACTTGTAACCAATAAACCTGTTTTTAATTCAAAGTTAAGTACTGAATGGACCTCAGTCCTCCATAGAAAACATAGTTGGTAAAGAAATCAACTGGTGGCAGCATAGTAAAGGACATGTTGGAATACCCCCACCCAAGTGAGCTCTTTGTTTGGTGAAACAAGCAGGAGTGTTGGAATACCCCCCGCCCCCGAGCTCTTTTTTTGGTGAAACAAGCAGAGGCCACGTGGGAAATGTCACACCTACAAACAGGCAAGCAGCATACTGGGGCTGGTTAAGAGCATACATGTCTAATGTCACACCTATAAACAGGCAAGCAGCTTACTGGGGCTGGTTAAGAGCATACATGTCACCATTCCTCAGTGACTCAGAAAGGTACATTCCAGCACACCAGTATGTGCTACTTTTACTTCCCTTTGAGCACTCAAACCAGATCATCTTCCAGTTATTTGGTCCTTGAACTGAAAGATCCCACAGAATGCAGCCATAAGAAATCAAACATTTTAGTTAGCTAGAAAATAATAGGATATCGGTCAGATGGGATGGCATTTAGCCACAAGCAATAATGCGTGGAGAAAAGGATGAGATGTGAAAGGCTAGGAGTGGATGGAAAGTGATACACCCACTCTTTCAAACAGCTGTAGTATAGTTTCAGAAAGGAAACATTCCAACACATATATTACAAAAGGAAACTACATTCCTTGCAGTTTCCTACATTTTACCTTCTGTTCTGAGAAGCAATTGATTGATATCTCATACTGTGATGACTTGTGAAGGAAAAATAAAGGCTTCTGCATTTTTTAAAAAAATGCATCCCTAAAAGGCAGAAATACTTTATCTGAACTGTCCAGATTGCCAACTTCTCAAGTTTTCTCCAGGGGATGCTAAGTATTACTGCTGGATCTCCTACAGGGCATTTAACACCCACCTAACTACAGCCGGTGAAATGTGAATTCTCCCCCTGAGGAGCCTTTCTGAATAGTTCTATCAAAAAACAAGGAAAACTGATCTAGACTGCTGACGTGAAGGTATAACTTTGCATTTTTTTCCTTTTGGGGAGGGGGGGATTGATAATAGGCTGCCTTTGGTAATTAGAAACCTTATTTCAAGGTCAGGTATTATTGATTAAAATTCCAGCTACCTATAAGCTCAAACCTAATAAAATCTGAGCATTTAATGAAAGAAAGAAAAATGAAATTTGCATTTCAATCCAAGCCTATTTCAAAGTGAAAGTGTCAAGTAATTATACTTTCATATAGAAATATGTAATTAACTTCCTATATTATAAATAGTCCATTCAAGGCCCTCGTGAGTCACAATGTCTATATCCAATTTATTACTGCCATCATCTCCATAGAGATCTAGGCTACAATACCCAAATGTGGGGATCACATCACACATCTTGATGGAAGCTCGATTTTAAATGTATTTCAAGATGATCCAGCTCATTCATGCAGGAAAGTGAAGTCCTCGCTAAACACTTTGAATGTCCCTTCTCCACACAATTTAGTTTGCAAAGCTGTAGAGCTCAGTAAATCTAGTTTCCTTCATTTCCAGAGATTTATTGCTGTAGGTGCAATAAAGCTGTTGGATGATAAAAGCAGCAGCACAGAGAGGGGGAAATCACAGCAGTTACGTGACAGCATTATAAAATCATCTTGTGCAAGCAGTATTAAAATGTTCAAAAGATTCTAAGGCAGCATGAAAAGGTGTTTGCCCATTGGTCAATCTGTTATGAAACAAAGAAGATCAGTGTAGCAAAAAAGGGGGGCAGCTGGAGTGAAAACAGAAACAAGTGTAGAACATGTAAACAAATTAAAGTAGTTAATTCAAGGAAAGAAACAAAACAAATCAGAAGACTGAATAAATATAAATTAAATGGCTGGAATCCAATTGGTGCTCACATAAAATCTACATAGATTGTTCCAATTTTCTGTAAACTACAGCTAATTGTGACTAACTAATGAGGCACTGGGGCACATTTTGGTTGTCCAATCAAGTCCACAACTGGGTTTATGACTGAGATGCATCCTGGCAGCTCATCAATTAGCTGCAATTGGTGGGGGCATGTTATACAAATTTTATGTGAACATCAATAGGTTTCTGACCAATTAGTAAGAAGCTGAATTCTGATCTGAAGAGACACACATTTCAATATATGTGTCATTATCACTTGCAGATCTCATGTTAATGTAGCTGTAATCCACAACATCAAGTTTTACAACTGACAATTACTCTGTTTTGACAACTAAAGTAACCTAGAAATAATCATATAAAACCTCATACAGATCTTAATTATGGCTTCCTTTCCTTAAACATATCTCCACAGGGTCCTTCTAGCTCTACAGTTTGAAGATAATGGTTATACATTTGAACCACAGTTATCTGAAAACCAGAATATGAATGCTTGGCTTTTGATGAACATAGTTAAGTGTTACATCTACACTGAGGTAGTTGTGCCACCTTTCTGCTCACAAGGTGGCAAGCACATTTTCTCATGCACAGTCTCTGGGGAAACAGCTTGACTCTCCATATATTATGTTCATGCTGCACCCTTGGGATTTCAATTAGTATTAAGATGGCTAACTATGGGTGAGTATATCTATACCAAGCCAATAGGCAGAGAATATGGTTGAGATATCCTAATACTGTGTGAATAATATAATTTGCTGATATTTTTTAAAAAATGATATGTTTCCTATTCATTTTTACTACCCTTTCCTGCTTTCATACGTGATTACCATTACCATCATTTAGCTAAATCTGGTTGCTTTATAGGCTTACTTATGGTTTCTCTTCTTCCCCACCAATGACTCTTCTTTGTGAACTGGATGACACCAGGAAACATGGTGACCCCTGTTACCTCACTGGCTCTCAGGCTGAAGCACAAAGACAAAGCGTTTTTGGTCCATTGGTTTGGCTGAGAAGCCATCTCACTTTCCTTCTCATGCAGAGGAGAAGGAGGAGGAGCAAAGCAAGCACACTTAGGTGATGCTTCGAAGGTCCTGTCTTCAGATTTGTCCAGCTCCTGGAAGTGTTGGCTGAGTATATGGCCAGCTTCATCTGCCACCCGTCTCACTGGGAATGGTAGGCAGCATGCGTAGGGGCTCCTCCCTCTTATTTCTACTCCTCTCTCCACTGGTCCAGAGCATGCAGGATTGTATAAGTGGGGTTTGGCCAGGGGTCTCTGGAGGGAGGGATGGGGAACCTCTGCAGGCTAAAAGCTCCTCGTCCCTGCACTACATTCTCTCGGCTAAAGTCACCAATGGGGCAAGTTCAGGATAGAGAGATAATCTTTAGCTCTGAAATGGCAATAGCCAGAAAAGGAATGTTTCAATGTAGAGTCTCTATTTTTTTAAAATTCCTGTAAAGTGTATTTGGTAGCGTACTCATCTAAGGATGTTTCAATCTCATCCAAATGATAACCACTGACCGAAAAATTAAACCTGCCAATTATTTGGCAGAGGCCTAATTTCTATCCCTATCCCTTCGATATGCATCCTGGGATCCTTTCAGCCACTGAACAGAGACATTCCTCAGTCTGTTGATCATAACAGAACAGAGAGTCAGAAAGTGTAGCGTGCACCTCTCTCAGGAGCATGAAGGTTAGAAAATAAGTCTTGCTTGTGATCAACTAGTGCTGTCCAATGCAACGTTAAACATGCAAACGCTGGAATGCTGAAGGAAGGCAATGTTATCATTATTCCCCTGTTGCTGATTTTTCTGCATTAGCAATGCATTGATGAGATAGCAATCCATTATCCAGGTATAGAGTATGCTTTATTTACCTTGTAGTAGAACAGAAAGAATCCACAGAAAAGGCTGTACAGGTCCGCTGTAAGCAGGGAAAGGTTGACTGCTGTAGCGCTGGTTTTCTTAATGACCACAGGCATGAAGCTGTAGAGGCCAAACATGCAGGCACTAAAGCCAACATACAGCAACCCTGGGAGAAGCGAGAATCAGGAGACAAAGCAAAACACTCATCAGTACCTGCCTCAAAAGGCATGTCTTTCTGCAGAGAAAAAGACAGACGCTGTACATTTTGAGAAGAGGATCAGGACTTCTTTAATAAGATCTTATAGGAGAAAAATACTGTGTGTTGTGGGGCTGCCATTCTGTCAACTTGGGAAGATAGAGAGCAAAGATGTCTTAATTCTTTCTATACTTCTTCTATTTGCTCCTTTCCTGTTGGAAGCTAGATGTTACTGTAACCATACTGACCTTGGGGAACATTGTTAAACTAAGAAAAGGAAAGATTCAGCAAGGCTAAGCACACAGGGTTCTTCAGTGCCTCCTGGATATTTTTCAAGCTTGAAAAATATCAATATCACTTTTATCAATATTGCAATATGTGATCTGTGGGATACATAACACTTCTCAGAAGTCCAAATAAAACTCAAAATAGGAAACCAAGCATCTCCTGACTCTACTAATTAGAGTCTCTGAACAGTTGGAAGAAAAATGAATTCTTCCAGGAACAGCATACTGTTGTAAGCTATCATCATTCTAAAGCAAAATATTTGGAATGTGGTCTGGTGTTGAATAGGCAATTAAGATCTGTTAGTTTTCCAAAAGATCTCATTTATTGATATGATGTATTGATATATGTTTTTGAACTCTCTTTGCTGTGGGGGTTTGCTATGGGGACTGTTATGATCACTGCCTACACTTCTAAATTTACCACTGTCTCTCTGGCCCGTGTCTTTGATTAACGAAGAAGTGTTCTTACTCTTATAGCTCCCACTAAACCATTTTTATTGCAGGTATGGACACAACGTGGTGCTGCAGATGGTGTTAGGATTGCATGTCACAGCATTCCTCACCATTAGTTATGCTGACTACGACTAATGGGAGTTGCTGTTCAACTGTACCTGGAGAGCCTCATTATGCTCATCCTTGATACTGTGTGATGCAGAAATGCAGCCACAGAGTTGATGGCATTAAGAACCCTGGCCAAATCTATTTGAGTTGTTCCCTTTGCTCAAGGAATCTTGACAAAAGGTGCTTGATAAAGGATTTAAAAAAAAAAACTATTGGAACTATAGGATTTCTGTCTGAAAACCCTGACGTCCTTCTGTTATTGTCAGCTTAGCCAGTATATTTGTAAATTTATATCACAAAATATCATTTCCCCCTCTCTTGCTAAAAAGGGGAATGAGCCCCAGAAGGCTCTTAAAACTCTCCGCTGCTTGCTTGAAGAAAGAGAACAACCATGCTTCCTATTGATTTGTTGCTTAGTTTTTGGAGCTGCACCATAAAACTGCTACAGTTTCTCGTGGCGGAGCCTCAGAGCAGATGTGCACTGCTCTATTAAGGTTTGTGGATAATTAGAGAAAATGATGAGTGAAAGCCCAAGGGGAGCAACAAAGTACAGCACAGCTTATTATGACTTCATCGCCCAGGGATTTCCTTTGTTACTGGTTGACAAGCAGAGCTTTTCAACCTGTTGCTTTTTATGTTTATTCCGCAAGGTTAACAGAGTTGTTGGAGGCATTATCAACACATTATTCTGCTCCTCAACGTAAGAGCCATTTTGTGTTCAAATTGTCGTTTTATGAGATCCAGCACTTGTCTTGCATTCTTAAGTCAGGCTGTCACTGCATGTACTGTATAAAATGATCTCTTTATTGTAGATGACATACATAATCACCATTCTTACAAAGAAAATTATTTATTTAGCACTTTGTCCAAAAATAAGCTTCTCCAGTGTGAAAAGGGAGTATTTGGTACAGCACAGTAGTGAAACTATGTACAGATTTACTGGGAGGAAAAAAATAGGCCTTGTTTGTCTACTAATTTCTCTTATTTGAAACAATTAGCTTTTTGTATACAGAAGTACTTCCCTTCAATAACTCATTTACCCAAATGTCATTTTTCCTTTTTTTTCTTGTCAGCTGCTAGACTGGTTGTTCATGACTTTGTGTACCTCGGCTCAACCATCTCTGACACCCTCTCTCTAGATGTTGAGCTGGATAAACGCATTGGCAAAGCAGCCACCATGTTCTCTAGACTCACAAAGAGAGTATGGCTCAATAAGAAGATGACAACACATACGAAGATCCAGGTTTATAGAGCCTGTGTTCTAAGCACACTCCTGTACTGCAGTGAGTCATGGACCCTTTGTGCACGGCAGGAGAGGAAGCTGAACACCTTCCATATGCGTTGCCTCCGACGGACTTTTGGCATCACCTGGCAGGACAAAGTTCCAAACAGAGCAGTCCTAGAATGAGCTGGAATTTTCAGCATGAACACATTACTGAAACAGCGACGTCTACGTTGGCTCGGGCATGTTGTGAGAATGGCTGATGGTCGGGTTCCAAAGGATCTCCTCTATGGAGAATTAGTGCAGGGAAAGCGCCCCAGAGGGAGACCACAACTGCGATACAAGGACATCTGCAAGCGAGATCTGAAGGCCTTAGGAATAGACCTCAACAGATGGGAAAACCTGACATCTGAGCGTTCAGCCTGGAGGCAGGCATTGCATCACGGCCTCTCCCAATTTGAAGAGACCCTTGCCCAGCAGGCCGAGGCAAAGAGGAAGTCACAAAAGCAGCAAAACCAGGGAGCCGGACAGGGGACAGACTGGATTTGTCTTCAGTGTGGAAGGGACTGTCACTCTCGAATTGGCCTTCTCAGCCACACTAGGCGCTGTTCCAAGCCCTCCATACAGAGCACGCTACCATAGTCTTTCGAGACTGAAGGATGCCTAACTAACTAACTAACAGCTGCTAGACAAATATTTCATAATATCTCATCTTAATTCCATATCAGAAAATCGTGGCACTTTTAAATCAATGATGAGGAAAGGGAGACAATAAACTGGGGGCTCAGGGCCACCATCTGGCACCTACAGCCTTCCTATCAAATCCACAGCAATGATAACCCCAAGGACTGTTCGTATTATGCTATACAGGCCCCTGAGACTCATCTACCTCTTCTGAGTGTGAACAGTAAAAGAGGCCTTGGGAAGAGTCCCCCTTATCTTCTGTGAACTCCCTTGCCAAGAATGAATGGTTGAGGCACCTAAGATCTGTCAAAGCTTCTGTTGATATTCCGGGATGGTGAGGGGAAAAACAAATAACTCTTTTGTCTATTTCCCAGTTCCGGTGAGAAGTCAATATCTGCCAGACCTCCAGTCTTGTCTCAGTAATCGATAATAATAAAATAATATGCAAGTGGAACTGTCAGAACCACAGTTCTAAGAACATGAAACCTAGACAGCATAAACATGACATGCATACTAACAAGCACTTGGGCATGTATACCTAAGTTCTGGTTATTTGGTTTTCAAAACACATTGATTCATTTGTGGTCAATACCGTTTGAAGCCAAGGCTCTTTGTAGTCAGTGTTGTTTGAAGCAATGGAGGGGGGAGCCGAAAGGACAAATATCGAAATCCCATTGCTCTGCTTCTCTTACATAACAATCTGTTGTGCAAATGCTGGGGTCTTTATGCAGTAAGGCTTTCTCCGAGCTTGGTTAAAGAGTCATGTGGTACCTCCTGTCAAGTTCCCAATAGCAAGTTGGGGGACTCGGAAGGTCATGGGCAGGCTGATTCTGGCAGACGTTTTAAACAGCTTTCAGTTGCCTTGTGCTGCGTAGCAACTTATATCACAGGAATGGAATGGGCGGACCAAGCTTTGGTGCATCAGGCTACAGCCTATTGCAATCCATGTGAAGTAAGTTACACTAGCTAATTTGGTACATGGCTTCAGTTATGGTGAAGTTATAAGATACAGGGTCTTGCACAGTGCCACCCAAGATTGGAACAAACACTGCCTCTCCAAGAACACTACAGTGTGTCCCAAACCTGTGTTTCTTCTTCAAACTGGGGCCACAGATGTAGTGACCTGAACACTTACCTATTTGCCAATCCCAAGGAACTTTCAACAACTCCTTGTGTTCCATAATGGCGCTGGTAGAGAGAAGAAAGGTAAAGATACATTTTGATTATGGGAATGAAAATATTTCCACTTAACCTCTTAAAGGAAGAGATACAGGTTGGTAAGAACAGGTTTGCAAAAACTCTGGCAAAAGATAAGTGCTGTCAGACCTGTTTAACCAACTTTGTCTTTATCTCTGTGTTTGAAAAGTAATTGGCAGAGTAATAAAGGTCACTAACACCCTATTTCGACTTGTTTAATGAAAGTGCTTTATCTGCCTAAAGTTGTAAATCTACTCGATATGATGTTCTAGCACCTATTATGACTGTTAATATTTTTGAGAGCTGTCAAACTGAAATGCTAACAAGATATTTATGTGAATTATACTGCCTTTTGAACTGCTCTATAGTGAAGAAATAACAAAATAAATTCCAAGCAAAAAGTGACCAATTATATAGAAATGAGCATCATAGAAGTGAAAAAAGAGGCTTATTTCAAGACTTAGGAATTAGAATTTCCAGAGTGTTCAAAGCTTCAAACATGTCATTTACACTATGTATGAATAATGACTCTGCTTGTGGTTACTTGAAAGTAATTCCCACTGATTTCAAGGTATTTTAGTTGGGTTGTCAAATTTGTAAGCATCTAATTATTTAAGGAGGTTAATTTTTAAAAGGTGCAATGGAGAACTTCAAAAGAGTTTCTCCTTTCAGATATGTATTAAAGTAGCTAATAACCCCTCTTCATGTATACACTGATAGGGTGTGAGCTGACTGTGATTTATGAAGAAAGGGAAGATGGATAGCTCAATGGAAACATCAGTCCAGGATGCAGTTGCTGAGGGGGAAAGGCGCATTCTATGGACCACCAAAAAAAAGGGAATAGAAATTATTGTTGACAGTTGCAGCCAAGAGTATGGTCCCAAATCAATCAATCAATCAATCAATCAATCAATCAATCAATCAATCAATCAATCAATCAATCAATCAATCAATCAATCAATCAATCAATCAATCAATCAATCAATCCTCAGGAGGAAGGGGTAGAGAATCAAGGTTTTTTGTGCCATCAATGTTAGGATAAGCCACAAATAACTAATAGGTATGTGTGCAAGCAAGTTACTGAACACGGGGGCTGAGATGTGGACTTACCACCAACAAGATAATCTCATCTTTTTAAAGAGCACAACTACTAAACACACACAGCCAGCATGGTAGTGGGGTATGCTGGCTGTGGATTTTGGAAACTGCAGTCCAAGGACACAGTGTTTCTCATCTCTGGTATACCCGTATTGGGTCACTAAAAAAAATTAAACAAATGTAAAATCTGTATTTCTCAGTACAGTGGTGCCTCGCTTAACGAGTGCACCGTATAGCGATGTTTCCGTATAGCGATCCCTTTTTCGGGATCGCTATACGGAAACATACCCGATCTTCGCAATGGGGAAAACCCGCATTGCGAAGATCGGGTATTGCGGCGGCCATTTTGGAGCCGCCGAAGTAAGAAAGGTATTGGAACGCATTAAACTAAGTTTAATGCGTTTCAATACATTTTCCCTACCCGTTTAGCGACGATTCCGCATAGCGAGGGTTAATCCGGAACGGATTAACCTCGCTATGCGGGGCACCACTGTATATGCATCAAAATATCATAAACAGTGCATATATCTGAGAGTCCCAAAAATTCCTGGCCAGTTGTCTGTGCCTGTCTGTTTCTCAAGGGTGAATTTAAAAAGCGCGACTGCCAAACAGCATTGGGGATGAGGTTTTAAACTCCTGTTAACCATTGGTTGGATTTCATCTCCCAACTCACCAAATTATTTGCACTATTTCCCCCCCCCATACATTGCCTTCTATTGAAACTCACCATTCCTATTCGGCCAGAGACAGAGGCAATACAGTGGGGTCTTGACTTGAGAACTTAATCCGTATTGGAAGGCGGTTCTCATGTCAAAAAGTTCTCAAGTCAAATCTGCATTTCCCATAGGAATGCACTGAAAACCATTTGATCCGTATCTGCTCTTTTCCGTCCATAGAAACTAATGGGAAGCTGCTATTCCGCCTTCGACCACTAGAGGGGGATATTTAGTTTCTTTTTTTCTTAGGTCAAGAAAGGTTCAGGGAAGGCAGGGAAAATACAGTCCAGGCAGTCCAGTACCAGGCAGTCCGAAGACTGTCTCCCAATCCACTCTCTAAACACTGGGAGGAGTGAGGAAGCAGACAGGCACCCTTTTCACTGGCCAACAGTTAACTGACAGTTCACTTTTTGCGCTTTCCCTGCCTCCTACGTGGGTTTTTTTCAGTTCTTAACTCAAATCTAAGTACTTAAGTCAAGTCAATATTTTCCTATGAGAGTGGTTCTTAAGTCAAAATGTTCTTAACTCAAGCCGTTCTTAAGTCAAGACCCCACTGTACACATATTTGACAAGCCCCCATCAGAGAACTGAGAATAAAATCTGGTCTACTCACATCTCTGGGATTCACTTAAAGCTGGTGTAGTAGCTTGACTATGTTTGTATTGACATGTGAGGATAACTGAAATAACGTATGAGTAAAGCCAACATTTGGCAAACACTAAAGTCTGCTCAGAAATTATCCTGTCATGAACAAATGGAAGGAATAGAGGGCCTAGAGGCCCAATGCAAGACTTGGAGACTTTTTTTTTTTGAAAAATACTCAGAATGCCTCAATGTGCATAGCTACTGGCCATGCTCATTACAGTATTCCGGGAATTGTCCAAAACAGTACCTCCTCTGAACTCTCATCCAACCCCAGTACCAGCATGCCCTCAGCTCCCTTCCCACCTAATGCACATTTGGTGGAAGGTGTGAATGGAATGTCTAAGTACATACAATTCTAAGCTGAACCTTATTCAGGCACTATCAAAGTTGGTGAAGGACAGCGCCTAACCCCACCCTGCTGGTCATCACACTCTTCATGGTTTCAGGGCTTGGTCTGAAAAGGAGAGTTCCTGCTCATGTGTAGCCACTAGACATGGGGACGAACAAAAAAACCAAATTCATCTAAAATAGCTGATTCATTAAATATTTGTCCCTTCACATTCATGGGTTCCAGAGACCCCCATGAATATGAAGGGATTAATATTTCCTCATTTTTATTCATCCCCAAAATGGAATAAAAGGCCATTCTATGGGTTTTCCATTCTGCCTACTGGCACACTGATCAGCTGATTGACAGGTCAATAGGCGGCCACCCCCCCACAGTCACCCACCCCCCCCTTCCTCTCCCTACCTTAGCCCCCTGGCCGACACCCCCTTACCGTAATAGTTGCTGCCACTGCCAAGGTCTCCATCAGGCCTCCACAGCCACGGTCTGTAGAAAGGGAAACTGGCTGCTCTTTGCAAAGATGGCAGCTGCGGCTTCATTTAGGGTAGGGAAGCTGCAGCTGCCATCTTTGCAAAGGGCAGCCTGAATTCCCTTAAGGATTCCCTTGGCGGCATGATGGTGGGGTGGTGGTGGTGGTAGTGGGGAGAGCGGTGGCAGCAGGGGGGCAGGGGATTAGTAACACCCCGAATCGACAAATAAATTCATTATTCATTGGTTCATGGGGACAACTTTGTGCGTCATAAGTCGTCAACTTTTGACAACTCACGAAGCAGGATGACTCACCAAAATGGTGAGTTGTCCCTATCTCTAGTAGCCACCACACATGAGCAAGAATGCGGGAAAAGGAAACGAGCCTTCTCTTCTGCAGACCTGTCACTTGAAACCATGAAGAACATGAAAATAGAGGGAGATAAAACGAAGCATTTGTAAGGTCTGAATAGAGCCTTGGTGTCCAGGTTCTCCCTTCAGGTGTTCATTAAATAGATGGCAATCAAAAGGAAGATCTAGCCAGCAAAGCAGCATTGACCTTCTACTCTCACTTTTTAAAAGTCTGTGTGAGAGTTTTTCCTATTTCTGTTAATTTTGCTCAGTTGGGGAAAAAACAAAACACTTCATCTTATTTTCCTACAAGCAGTAGGAGAAAAGAAGCAAACAGATGTATGTCTCATACATATTTATATACATAGGATAATCTCATCATTTGGGGGAAAGAATAAGATTAATAATATGCCAGTAACAAACACATTATAATTTTCTCCTGATTGTTGGGATGAAGCTACTGAAAAAGAAGATTAAAGTAAAGGCAATGAAATCTTCTGGAATACAAATAAATTTAATCCCTCTCACATTAGTTTTTACCATAATAACAACAGAAATGTTTGTTTTCTGATCTCTTATTGCCATGCAAAACTGTCTCAGGACAGTCCCCAGACTAGATTCAATTGAATCCTAATTCTTCCCCCTGCGAAAAACAAAATGAAGCAAAAAAGCAAGCAAACAAACAAAAAAACCCTGAAGAAAATTAGAGCAGAAACTAATTTAATCACATCACCCAGTGACAACTCCTATATTTTAATTATAAATTCCCTTATCAGTCAAATTTTCCAAGCTGTAGCTGTGAGCTTAGCCTGAAAAATCCTGCCACTGACCAGACAGAATACATGGGCCAGGACAAACTCAGTAATGGGCCGGGAAATACAGAATCCAAGCACAGCTAGAAAAAAGTTCCTTGGCTGACAACAGTGCTTCTGTTGCGGGACTTAGGTTTAATTCATAGTTCAAACTTCATATATGTATAGCCAACATTTAGTGTTGCTGTTGTTTGCTCAAAATTAATCTGCACAGAACTTTTTTTAAAAAAGAACTTTCTCCAGGCCTCTTGAAGATGCAGGAGACAAAACAAAACAGTTTGTGGTCCATTATGACACTCAAATGACTGGGATGGGAGTCAGCAAAATGCAGCCCATTTGCTGGCATACAACCCCCCTGAGGTGCAAATGTGTGCCCAGCACTGCAACACACCACTCAAAATTTTAAATTTGGCTTAAGAAGCCCCTTGGGACCTCTGGAGAGTATATGGGCAATTTTATCATGTTTTGAGGAGTTTCCAGCACCCACGCCCCTCCTCCTGAATAACGTTTAAATATACATAATTTTCCCACTAGAGGGTGCTGTTGATATATATATATCTCAACTGCACCCTCTAGTGAGAAAATATGTATATTTAAACATTATTCAGGAGGAGGGGGAGTGGATAAATATATATTTATGCAGTTTTTTTATGTATATTCTGTGATGTACTGTTGCTATGTGAGGGACAAGTGATACAGCTCACCAAGGGTTATACCATATTGTCTACCTTTTTCAGCATATCTGAATTAGTTCAGAAGCTGGAAAGGGAAGTGTACTGCTGTGCTCCTTCATGTATTTTTATTTTCTCATGCTTAGGTCCTATATTGTTTTCCACAGAAATGCTATTATTCCCAAATTGACAAGGAGGTGCGTAGACTGAAACTGCTCTTGAGGATGTATATGTGCAACATGTCTGCCTGTGGGCCACCAGAGGTTTTAAAGAGCACTGATTTGGAACACAACATGACTGAATTCCTTGAAGCTGAAATATTAACACTGACCAAAATATGAGAGTGGTGGTGGGAGAAAGAGAGAGAGAGAGAGATTGAGAGAGAGAGAGAGAGAGAGAGAGAGAGAGAGAGAGAGAGAGAGAGGGGGGGGGAGGCGAGCAAGCAGGTAATAATGAGCCGCAGCTGTGTAAAAGCTGTCTAGACTTGAGCTGCAAATATGTAGATAAGAAATAAGCCATGCTTGGCATCCTAAAATGCTGAAAGCAAAATTAAACAATTTACCAGTAACAGAGAACCTGTTACTGTGGAAAATGTATGGAAGTCAATGTACATATTTTAGAATATGATTTGGTTAGCCATGATTTCTAAGAACCATGTTGTTATAAGATGTCTTAAATCTAGGAGTTGCCGAATGAAATCCTGGCTACCAGCCATGAAACTCGCTGAATTATCTTGGGCCAGTCATGATATCTTAATTTAGCCTGAGGGCTGCTGTGAGGATAATGGTGAGGAATAATGGATATTGCTCTGAGGTCTTTGGAGGAAGAGTGAGGTGACAAAAGTAATGAATGAATACAACATCTCATTATGTCCTCATTTTTTATAGCAGGCTGTTGCAACGCTTTCAACAATTCCTTGACAGCTTCAAAGCTGGGGAAAATAATACCTCTTCTACCAGTAGGTACTGAATTTTGGAATGCGAGCAAAGTAGGCCAGTCTTTGGGCCATTTATACTGTACTCTGTAATTTGAATGAAAACATACATGGTGAGGAGGTTTGTAATGAAAAGGTGAAGGAAGAAAATGGCAATAGGAGCAGGTGGCTGCCATTTGTTTTTTGCTTTACTTACAGCTGAATCCCACTGAAGAAGGAACCAAAGAGTCCAATCATGCCAAGGAATTCCACGCGACTCAGGTTCCGTACGATGTACTCCTCGCAGACATTGGAGATGCCATAAAGAGTGGCCCCTCCTAACACTAGAAGATCCCCTATAAGTTTATTTTCTCCTAGGAGTAAAATAAAATTAAATATTAACAACACATCATAATTTGCTGCCTGAAGCTCTGCTTCATTCATTCAGAAATGCATTGATTACATTTATACTATAAAGTTGTAAGTTCTGCATTTGTTGACTTCCTTCTGAAGGCATGTTTGCACAGGTATGCTCACTGCAACAATGAGGAAGATACTTCACAAGAAACATAAGAAAAGAGAAAGTTTTCACACTGATGGAAACACAATGGTTGGGATTCTAAAATGCAAAAATGGAAGCTTCACAGAAAGGAAGCTTCCATTTCCATCTTCAACCCAAAACAAAAGCAAAGCAAAGCAAAGCAAAGCAAAGCAAAGCAAAGCAAAACCTGTCTAGAGAGTCCTCCTCTCCAAATATTGTGGGATGAGGTATGATAGCTCCCACACGCCAACATATCTAAAGAAATGAGTATTGATCCACAAAAGCTTAAGCCATGATAAATTTGTTAGTCTTTAAAATGCTAAAAGACTGTTAACAGTTTTGCTGCAAGCAGTGAATATTGCTAAGTCTCTAGAAACTGATATACTGGTGGCGCTGCGGGTTAAACTGCAGAAGCCTCCGTGCTGCAAGGTGGGAAGACAAGCAGTTGTAAGATTGAATCCACACGACAGAGTGAGCTCTCAATGCTTGTTCCAGCTCCTGCCAACCTAGCAGTTTGAAAGCATGTAAATGCAAGTAGATAAACAGGTACCACCACGGTGGGAAGGTAACGGCATCTAGAGAGTCCTCCTCTCCAAATATTGTGGGATGAGGTATGATAGCTCCTGGAAAAGAAAAGATTTGTCCACAATAGAGTGGTCAATCCATAGAGTGGTCAATATGACCAGATAGGCTAGTCTTTAAAATGCTAAAAGACTGTTAACAGTTTTGCTGCAAGCAGTGAATATTGCTAAGTCTCCAGAAACTGATATACTGGTGGCGCTGCGGGTTAAACTGCAGAAGCCAGACAAGCAGTTGTAAGATCGAATCCACATGACAGAGTGAGCTCTCAATGCTTGTTCCAGCTCCTGCCAACCTAGCAGTTTGAAAGCATGTAAATGCAAGTAGATAAACAGGTACCACCACGGTGGGAAGGTAACGGCATTCCATGTCTAGTAACACTGGCCACATGACCACGGAAACTGTCTACGGACAAATGCCTGCTCTATCGCTTGGAAACGGGGATGAGCACTGCGCCCTAGAGTCAGAAACGACTGGACTAAATATCAAGGGGAACCTTTTATACTCCATTTAGAAGCTCAAGAAAGTCTCGCTGAAGTACAGTTTCTCCTGTAATCAGTCTGTGCCTCTCTGAGCTCTTTAAAAAATAAATAATAATAATTTTAAAAAGTGAAGGGAGGCTAATCAGAAGCTGAAAGGACTAAACTGAATGTCCTGTACTTTACAAGACAAGATTCACTGGAAAAGACAATAATGGTAGGAGAAGGTGAAGGTACAGGGTAAAGAAGATGACCAAACATGAGACAGATTGTCTTGATAAAGACATCTGCAGCTCTGAGTCTGCAAGAACTAGGCAGAACTGTTAATTACAGGACCTTCTGCATGTTATTAATTCATGCAGTCACCATAAGATGGTGGAAACCTGACAGCAAATAACAATACCTCCCTTTTGGCCATTTTATAGAGCTGGAAGTTTGGTTTATTCCCCCAAAGGGCAGGGCAAACACAACCCAAACCAGCACAATGGGGATTGCGCATGCTTAGAGGATATAGAATGCTAACTGTTGGGGAGGGTGGTGGAATTAAATAGAGTATCTGGAATGCTGAACCACAGAATGCTACACCACTTGGCCCATTTGTTCAAACATCTATCAGGTAGGCACTTGTCATTCAAAAAACATCAATTAAAAATGGGCATAGTTTTGTATTATATCCCCTTTATAACTAGGGTAGCCCCTGGAGCCTTACTTCCACTTAAAAAAGGGGGGAGACATGCTCCTGGAAGCCCTATAAAAGCATATTTTGGCCTATAATCAGTCCATGATTCCCTATACCCATTAAAATAATTTTAAAAAATAAGGAAGGGCAGAAATTGGCATCGGACCCATTCTAAGTTCATCAGGGGGTACCTGTGCAACCCACGCTGGTTTGTGGGGTGACATAATTGTTTCCAGAGCCTCCAAAGTTGCCCACCCCAAATCAGTAATTCCCTTTCCAAATCAGTTCTGCAGAAACAAGGGATTCCCTTCTTTTTTTCAAGCCTCTCTGTTTCTTTTAGGTGATGAGCACCTTACCCATCTCTGGGGCATAACTAGACAGATTTACTCTTCAATTAAAAAAAAAAAAGACACACACCTCCTCCTTGCTGTCTTCCAACAAGGACATCAGCTCCTGCCATGCAGCCCATGCCCAGAATGCAGACCACAATGCCAATGAAGTGCACTGCCTTGTACCGCACCAGGAGGAAAAACCAGGACAGCAATATCACAACCGGAATCACAAAACAATCTAGGAGCTGCAAGAAAAAGAAGAAGAACAACAACTTTCAAGACAAGAACCAACACTTATATTATTCTGAATACAGGCTGCTCATCAAAGCCCCTAAGTCATCGGAGCAGATGATAAGTTGATAGAAATACAACCTTTTAGAAAGACTAAGAGGAAAAAGCTTCCAAGTCTCTTCCTAACCCCTGCAGACATTCAGGGCTTAACATCACTGGTGCTAGAAATGCTTTTAAACCTAGAAGTCAGTTCACCCTTATAAATGGGATCAGTGAATTATGTTTCTTATTAATAGCAACATTCCATTTGTATTATTCCTACTAAGAAGATTTGGCCACTTCAATAGCAGAAGAACTATCAGTTAGATAAGCAAATAAATGGTAACACCCACTAAGGCCATCCTCCTCCATTGAGACCTCAGGGACTGAAGTGGGAAAGAGTTATGCATGTGCCCACCACTGTGGCACCAGGACAAAGGTTGTTTAAAACTCACCAGCAACCTTTTACTGCAACAGCCGTGCTCCACAAGGACACCGCAGGCACATGCAGCTGGCTTTGTTATGTACCCTGAGGTGGCTGCTCTTGTGGATCAACACGAGTGAAGGGATGCAACAGTTCCAGTGGCAGCATCTGGTAGGCAGTGCTAGCGGTGAAAGTGGCCAGTCACAGGAGTAGCAACAATGGTGGTTGGGCTATGCCAGGTGTACACTCAGTCCAGCACTATATCTTTTGGCTCATTTTGTCTCACGGCAGGCCTGCCCCAGAACAAAAAGAACTAAGAACAAAATCCTAACTAGCCAAATGGCCCACGGCTACCTGGATGGACAAGGGGCCAGACAAAGCTATCTTCAATCTAAACCTCTCTTAGCCAACGGATGATGGGAATTACTTTGGGACAGGATGGTCCTAACCTATGTTTGCAACAATATAGTGGCTGTGGCCTGGGTAATCATCCAAATTTGGATATGGTGTAACTTGGCTCTTCCCTCCTTTCTGCCCCTTCTTGACCCCTTTTCAGGGCTCTTCTTCCAGATGATTTTAGCTGGCAGACTATTTCAGTGGCAGATCATTATTCTGGCACATTTCTGACAGTTGTGCCAGCACAACAGATGTCTGCTGATACATCTTTGATTTAGGACTTCACTGTAATAAAACAGCAAATGGGACATTAGCACAATAGAAACCATCTTCACCTCATTCACCCTGTGTTCAGTTTCCTTGTCAGCCATTAAAAAATGAACATTGCTCACCCAGCCTGGAACAAAGAGTTGGATAAAATTAGGGGCACAACTTCATTAAACTATTTAAACTTTTAATTCCTCTTTCACAGGGGGGGCCTACCGTAGTGCAAATTCATCTGACTCCAGTGTACCACTTTAACCAGATCAGGCCACCAAGAGTGAGTTCCTATTGCCGAAGCACACTGACCTCTGTCCAGCGTGTCTTCAGCCATCCAAAACCCAGGAATCCCCTCACTGGTTCAATCGCTGAGCCTCGAGACCCTAGGTGCACTGCCGCCTGGAAGATTCCCTTAACCCATCCCCCTTTCATATAACTCCTTTCCCACCAATCAGGGAGATGGGTTAAATGTCACCTTCCTCAGGTGTCCCAATGGAACTCACCCACACTCCTTGCTTTTGCACTACCCACCGTTGCAACCTATTCAACATGTCCATCTGTCTCGACTTACGAACTTAATCCGTATTGGAAGGCAGTTCGTAGGTCGAAAAGTTCGCAGGTCGAATCTGTATTTCCCATAGGAATGCTTTGAAAACCATTTAATCCGTATCTACTCTTTTCCGTCTGTAGAAATTAATGGGAAGCTGCTATTCCGTCTTCTGCCACTAGAGGGGGATATTTTTTCTTTTTTTTCCTTAGGTCAAGAAAAGTTCAGGAAAGGAGGGGGAGAGGCAGGGAACAATTTTAAAAGCACTTTTGAAATTTTTTTTTTCAACGAAGCCAATTTTAAAACATGTTTTAAAACATGTTGTGTTGATTTTTTTCAGCACAAAGACACACAGGCAGGCTTTTTAGGTGCTGAGCAAGCCTCCCCAAGCCTCTTCAGAGCCAGCTGATCAGCTGATAGGTGGGGAGAGGAGGGGGCAGGAGCAGAGAAAAGCACAAAATGGCTGCCAGGCTCCCTTCTGGGTGTCGGCTTTTATCTGTTTGCTGCTCTTTTTCCTGCAGTTCGGGGGCTATCAAGGCCTGGTAAGGGACTTTCTTTTATTTATTTTTAAGGTTCTGGCCTTTTTCCACCTCCAGAAGCCTCTAAGGGGAGAGAGGGGGGCACTTTTTTCCTGTTCGTAACTCGAGGGAAGTTCGTATGTTGAGTATGTAATTTCCCTATCGGGCGGGTTCGTAAGTTGAATTGTTCGTAAGTAGGGCCGTTCGTAAGTCGAGACCCCACTGTACCTAATTGTACCAAGAAGTAAGAATGGGATGGGTGAAAACACACAAGCTTCCTGTTCTGTGCCATTTGTGGAAGCAAATCAAAAATTCCCATCTGGCCCGAAGCGACCAGCTACTCTCATTCTTAGTTCCCAATGGTGGGTGGGTGAGCCACACTGCCAATGCCACAAAAGAGGCCAAGCTAGGGGGAGCCAGCCTGATAAAAGGTTCTTCACCCGGACTTTCCCTCCCCTCAGCCTCCACGTCACAAGCCTGCGCTCGGCAGTTCTGAGCAGGCAGGCAAATCACTACTGTGGTGGCAGCTCTGTGGCACATGGAGCGTCCAAAATGTCTAGTTATCTATTTCACAGTTTAGGAATGAGAAGGTAAGAGTTTTTGTGCAGGGTCCTGGTCACCTGCTCAAATAAGTTTTCTTGTCAGCCATTTTTTTCGTGAAAACAATCCTTATTACTGCTGAAAGTTCAGATGAACCCCTAAAGAGAAACATCACCTGGATGATAGCTAATGACATAAACACAGAGCAAATATAATAAATAAAAATAAATAGTGTGGGCAGGATATAAGTAAGTAAGTAAGTAAGTAAGTAAGTAAGTAAGTAAGTAAGTAAGTAAGTAAGTAAGTAAGTAAGTAAATAAATAAATAAATAAATAAATAAATAAATAAATAAATAAATGTCCACTTCAGCCCTGTAGTGTGCAGTTTCAAGATCAATGTGGATATTCTGTTGGAAAAGGGATTAGCTGTCCTTAAAATACAAGATCAGAGTACCTCTTTACCTAAGTAGATTGCCCTGACATTGTGTAGGGTATAAACAAATATGCTTTCATTTGCTTTGGCTGTTAAGCTGGCTGTTGGCAAGCTCTTTATCAGATAATATTTTAGAGAAGAAGAAATTAGGATTCACTGCTACCTTTGCTTTTTGGTGCTGAGGATTCTCCCACATGGTTGAGTCAACAGAAAAGATAAGAAGGAAAAGTGAATGCAGAGATAGGAGAAAAGGAGAGGCTCAAAATTCCTAAGGGCGGTGGCACTGTGAAGACAGGGATCACAAAATGTAAGTGCCAGGACCTTTTCATCAGTGGAGAGCAACAACTAACCCCACCCATTGCTTCCCTCTTCCCTCTGGCACTGTCTGTAATATTGCCCATATTAGGATGGAGGGTGAAATGAGTTTTCCCAGCAACAACACATTGTTTTGTGTTACCCTTGTCAACAGGCAAACATTTTGATGTTGTTGGGTGAGCAGCTAAGGCCCATTAGTTTTATGAACAACTGCCTTCCAAGGAGATAAACACTGCTGGAACTCAAGTAACATGACTGCTTGCATTAACAAACCTCAGAATGTACAAAACCCATTGATCAAGTCCGCTGAAAGGAAGTGTTCTTGACTTCAACCCAAACTAGAATTATTTAAAAAGGCAAACATTTCAAATTCCTGCTAGTAGATCACAAGATCTGTACTAGTAGTAAAAGGAGAACAATTAGAAGTAGCACCCAGAGATACCATAAGCTAGAATTCTGAGAAATGTGGTATAAAAAACTAACTTTACCATACTCTTAATGGAAAGCTCAAAACCATACCTTTGCTTCATGGGGCAAGATGAAAAAGAAGTTTTTGTACCTTGAATAGCTATATGGAGGAGAAAATTTCAGCAAGTGTAGCTTTCATTAAAACCTGCTAAAATTTTATCTTCTAATCTACTAATAATAGTTGTATGAAAACCTACTGAAATGTCCTCTTTTAAGTAACTGGGTAATTCAGCTGTGGAGCCAGAGGTTGGGAGTTTGATTCCCCACTGTGCATCCTAGGAGAAAAGCCAGCCTGTGTGGCCTTGGGAAAGCTGCATAATCCCAGGCTGGTCCCAAAAAAGGGAATGGTAAATCATCTCTGAGTACAGGGGTGCCTCGCCAGACAGTTACCCCTCATGACAGTTTTTTCTCTAGACATTGACTTTTTGCAATCGCTATAGCGATTCGCAAAACAGTGACTTCTTGGGGGAATTTCGCTGGACAATGTTTGGTCCCTGCTTCAGAAACTGATTTTCACTAGATGACAATTTTTTTTGTGCTTAAGTCCCTGTGAGTATTTTTTTATTACTGTAATTAATAACATAAACAAACATACAAAACAAACACAGAACACATAATCGGGGAAAATATTTTCCATATATCCATCTAACATATAATACTGACTGCATAAACCATATCGCCCTACTTAACATCTTTAGGCCATATCCATTTGATATATAATTCTGACTACATAAACCCCAAGGATTAACATACATAAATTGTCAATATATAAACTTAAACCTGTATTGATCTTATATTCAAGCCACTCTTAATTGCATAGACCAACTATAGTTCATGAGTTACTTAATATCTTCATGTTTCTAACTTGTCATCAATACCTTCTAAACAATTGTGATCAGAATATGTAATCTAATTTAAGCATTACCTGTACTTATCAACCATTTAAGACATTCTGCAAGTAACTTTCCTATTTTTGTTATATTTCTTTGCTCCATGTATGAACCAGGGATATAAAGTCTCTATAGATTCTTTCACCTGCATACCCCTCTATCCAATACTTATCATCAACAATTC